TTGTTGAGATGGAGAGGCGTTGTGGAGAATAATATGAACTGAATAAATACTTAAAATTAGGTGCCGCCCCAATATGACAATTTCAAATGAACACATTTTCTTGTTCAATTTCTTGGATTGAATTTAACAAACAAAAAAATAAAATAAACTAAAAAGATTCGGGGTTTGGAGAATTAGGAGTATTTGCTATTATGTTCTTAAAAGCCCTCCATTAAGAATTTCACCACCGAGTTAATTCAACGTAACATTGAAATACACGAGGTTCTTAAGTTTCTCCAATGACTTGGGGATTACACAATGAAATCAAATTACCCCATGACTTCAGTACAGGACTATGTAATCGATTATTTGATAATGTTAGATTCCTCGATAGTGATAGACTGAAATCTTAGACTTTAATATTGGCTTATTTTGTCCTAATATCTTCCTGTAGTTTCTCCATAATTAGTGTGTAAATCTTCTATAATTAGAGTCCCTTATTGCTCTTTATCATAGAGCATGATTACAGGCCATATTGACAAAACTCTTGTATAAATACCTCTCAATTACATAATGAAAAATACAACAATTCTTCCATCATATTCTGACAATCTTCATGGTATCAGAGCCTTCATGCTCAAAGCATAAACACACTTGAACTTCCTTTTTTTTCCTTTCTTTTTCTCTTCCTTTCTATCTGTCTTCATCTCAATCTAATGTCTGAAAATTCTGCAAGTTCTCCAGCAACTCCAAGCCCTGCTGTAGCAGCATTAACAGGGAACAATGTTTCATTGCAATGTGCTGCTCTTGTTTCAATAAATGCTGCAACTCTGATTCCGTTCAAACTGTATAGAGGAGGAAACTATGCTTCCTGGAGATAACAGTTCAACAATCTCTTGTTTGGATATGATCTTATGGGATATGTTGAGGGTACATGGATATGTCCAGTTGAAACAGTGGTGAAGACCGGAGAAACGACAGAATCAGTTAATCTGGATCAGAAGATTTGGTTACGTCAAGATCGCCTCGTATTGCAAGCCATTCAAGCCACTCTCACAAACAATATTGCTCCGCTGATTTCATCTTGCCAAACATCAGCAGATGCATGGTCAAAGTTGGAGACCACTTTTGCCAACAAGTCACACACAAGAATGCTTACTCTACTTTCAACGCTTATGAAGGTATCAAAAGAAGGAATTACTGTTGCTGAGTATATGCAGAATATCAAAGGTATCATTGATGATCTATCTCTAATTGGTCATCCCTTGAGTGATGCTGAAGTTGTAGCTCATACACTAAATGGACTTGGAAATGATTACAAAGAATTACAAGCTGCTATTTGAACCAGAGAAACAACCATGACTCTTGAAGAACTTCACGATAAACTCTCAGATCATGAAATTTTTCTGAAGCGTAAAGAGGGAAAGAAAGTAGAGCCACCTGTCGCAGCCCAATTCAATCAACGCACCAACAATTATAAAGGAAAGAATGGTAACCGGGGAGTAACTAACAATTATGGTAGCAAATTCTCTCAAGGAAATGGAAATAACCAAGGATTTCGTCCCTCTCAATCCTTTCACAATTCTCCCAATCAATCTCAGCCTCACTTTCATCAATAGCAATTTCATCAACAACCACCGTGGAAAACACACTCATCAAGATCCAAAAATGTTGTTTGTAGTTATGTGACAAGGTAGGACACACAACCAAAACCTGTAGATCACGTCCTAAACCAAGCCTTACTCAAGGGTGGCCCCGAGCAAACTACAACTCATTTGTACAATCTGAGAAAGCTTCAAATTGTGGAAATTGGATTGTAGACTCTGGAGCATCTCACCATATCACTTCAGATTTACAAAACTTGGGCGTCCATTCAGAATACGACAGCAACGACGACATTATGGTTGGCGATGGCAATGGTATTCCTATTTCTCATATTGGGTCTACCTCTCTTAATTCTTCTAATATTCAATTTAAACTTAACAATGTTTTGTGTGCACCACATATTAAACAAAATCTTCTTTCAGTCTCTCAATTTTGTAAACAAAATAATACTTCTATAGAATTCTTTCAAAACTTTTTCCTTGTGAAGGATTTGAGTACGGGGGCATCCTTGGTCCGAGGTCGGAATAAAGACAATATTTATGAGTGGCCATCTTCATCATCTCCATCACAGATTTCCTTCTATAGAATTCTTTCAAAACTTTTTCCTTGTGAAGGATTTGAGTACGGGGGCATCCTTGGTCCGAGGTCGGAATAAAGACAATATTTATGAGTGGCCATCTTCATCATCTCCATCACAGATTTCCTCTCCCACTGCATTTATCAGCTCCGTCGCTGTCTCCTCCGATTTATGGCATCGCCGTCTTGGCCATCAATCTTCAGTAACTCAACAAAAATTAGTCTCTAAACACTCTCCCCCTATGTTAATTCTATTTCATCTCTATTTGACTCGTATTTTAATATAAGTCACAAACAATCTTTTCGCCTTTTATCTGTGCAATGTAATTCTCCTTTAAAAATTATATATACAGATGTTTGGGGTCCTTCCCCCATTGTTTCTTTTGATGATTTTCGATATTATGTCATCTTTGTAGACTACTATACTAAATATACATGGCTTTACCCAATGAAACAAAAATCTAATGTATATCCTATTTTCTTAAAATTTAAAAAAATTAGTTGAAAATTTCTTTCAAACAACCATTAAAACACTATACTCTGATGGTGGAGGTGAGTTTCAAGGTCTGGCAACTATTTTGTCCGACTTTGGTATTCAACACCTAAAATCTCCTCCCTATACACCTGAATTAGTTGGGTCGGTTGAACGAAAACGTCGTCATCTTGTCGAAACAGGCCTCACCATCCTTCATCAAGCATTTTTGCCTCTTCGTTTCTGGTCAGTCACTTTTCAAACTGATGTGTTTCTTATTAATCGCATGCCTACACCTGTTCTAAAATCCCTAACACCATTTGAAAAAATATTTCGGAAAAGTCCGAACTATCTAAAGCTCAAAGTTTTTGGTTGCCTCTGTTATCCTTGGTTATGACCATATATATCCCACAAATTAGAACCAAGGTTTAAGCCTTATGTTTTTCTCGGCTATTCCCTTCCGCATAATTCCTATATTTGTTTTGATCCATCCACTCAAAAATCTTTTATTTCTCGACATGTTATATTTGTTGAGAATATATTCCCCTTTCAAAATATATCCTCTCATGATTGTAGGCTATCCACTGATTCCCTTTCTAAATGGCTACCTTCACATTCCTCAAATCTTCCTCCTAATTCTCACTCCACAATTAAAAGTCAACCAAATACATTATGTCATATTCCAGCTATTTCAATTAATCAAGTTTCTCCCATCAATTATTCCTCCAATCAAGGACCCACCTCACTTAGTCAACACAACCCTCACAAATTAATTTCACCCAATATAATTGCTTCTAATTCCATGCATTCAGGTGATGACAATGGCTCTCATTTAATGCTGCCGAATTCCTCTTCTCCTACTAAGGATGCCAACGTCTCAAGCTCTCATTAGGTATCTCCTTCTTTATCTCTATGTCCCACTTTCCCCTATAAATCACCTACCCCTTCTTTAACCAAAACACAAATTATAACCAGCTCTCAAAATAAAATTTGCAATCCTCGTAAAATTCTTGACCTTCATACTACACTTTCAGAAACTTTTGAACCTTCTACATTCCTTCAAGCTCAAAAATCTTCTCATTGGAGAAAAGCTATGAGCGAGGAATATGATGCTCTTATACACAATTCTACTTGGACTCTCGTTCCCCCTCATCACACACAAAATGTTGTTGGGTCTAAATGGGTATTTAAGATTAAGAGGAATCCCGATGGCACCATTGCTCGCTATAAGGCACGTTTAGTTGCCAAAGGGTTTCATCAACGCCCGGGTGTGGATTTTACTGATACCTTCAGTCCTGTTGTTAAACCCACTACAGTTCGACTCATTCTGACTCTTACTGTCGCTCGTGGTTGGCAACTACGTCAATTGGACGTTAACAATGCCTTTTTGCAAGGCACTCTTACTGATAAAGTCTTCATACAGCAAGCTCAAGGGTTTGTTCACTCTCAGTACCCTAACTATGTATACCGACTTCACAAAGCTATATATAGTCTACGTTAAGCTCCACGTGCATGGTATCAAGAATTGCGATCATTTCTGCTCCACCATGGTTTTCAGAATTCTCATGCTGACAACTCATTATTTATATTGCATCAAGGTTCTACCACACTTTACTTGCTTGTCTATGTTGATGATATTATCATCACAGGGGATCACTCTTCGGCTATTTCGAATATCATTGGTATTTTGTCTACTCGATTTTCACTCAAAGATCTTGGTCCCTTACATTATTTTTTGGGGGTTGAGGCCACATCTACTCCTCACGGCCTCTTTCTTGCACAATCAAAGTATATTCGTGATCTTCTCTCAAAAAACAACATGCTTGAGGATAACCCCGTGTCTACGCCGTTATCCCCTACCGAGACACTCAAACTTTATGATGGTAATTCAGAAACTGATGCTACACAATATCGCAGAGTACTTGGTTCATTACAATATCTTTCCTTGACTCGGCCTGATCTCTCTTTTGCTATCAATAAATTGTCACAATTCATGCATTGTCCATCGACAATTCATTGGTCTGCTGTTAAATGTTTGCTACATTATCTCAAGGGCACAAGTACACATGGTATCTTGATATGCAATCGACCCTCTGCTCAACTTCACGCTTTCTCCGACTCTAATTGGGATGGAAACTATGATTATCGCACCTCTACCTCTGCTCATGTTGTCTTCCTTGGTGCTACCCCGATTAGTTGGAGTTCTAAGAAGCAAAAATCAGTTGCTCGCTCTTCCACTGAAGCTGAGTATCGTGCCCTTGCTTCAACCGCTGCTGAGTTAAACTGGATCACTAATCTGCTATAGGAACTTCACATTCACATCCCTACTGCTCCAACAATTTTTTGTGATAATATTGGTGCCACTTATTGGAGCAAAAATCATGTTTTTCACTTCCGTATGAAACACATTGCCATTGATTTTCATTTCGTGCGTGATCAAGTTCTCAACAATCGTCTTCGTGTGTCCCATGTACATACAAGTGACCAACTTGCAGATTCTCTCACTAAGGCTCTCAATCGGAAGTCCTTCCTCCTTCATTGTTCCAAGCTTGGCATCCATGATGGAAGCTCAATCTTGCGGGGCCTTAATAGACTGAAGTCTTAGACTTTAATATTGGTTTATTTTGTGCTAATATCTTCCTGTAATTTCTCCATCATTAGTGTGTAAATCTTCTATAATTAGAGTCCCTCATTGCTCTCTGTCATAGAGCATGATTACAGGCCATATTGCCAAAACTCTTGTATAGATACCTTTCAATTACATAATGAAAAATACAACAATTCTCCCACCATATTCTGAAAATCTTCAGATAGTGCTTGGAATCTCTTGTGAGAAATTGATTTCTGATGGATATAATCTGTCATACTTTTCATGCAGCCAATTTTTGAAGCCAGCAAACCATTGACCAAAGTACCAGCTAAGTTACAAATAAAACTAGGGGGACCCCGGACCTCCAAGGCTCCCTTCCCTCCTCTCATGATGGTGTAAGAATTTTTGTTCGACATAAATTGAGAATGGAGTGCATTATCTCTATGGACTATCTATTATTGAGTAGCTTGTGCGGAAGCGGGACAACATAGAAATCACGAGCAACCTTCTAGTTCGTTTTCGTTGAATCATTCATGCTTGAAAGCTAGATATCAAAGATTCATCGATTTCACATTATATCAAGAATTTGGACACATAATTAAGAACATACTATTTTTCATTTCATTAAATCACCTCTATTAAAAGACTCAAGTAGTCTTATTTAATGAAATAGAATAATACTCTGTAAGGAAAATACAAAATATCGAAATAAAAATATTAATTGAAAAAAACAACCATAATCAAAACCTTAACCAAAGAAAATAAATAAATCTAAGCCTATCATATAATACCAAAATCCCAGAACACCAATATAATGGATAATTTCCGTATGTATGTTGCATCACTATCCTACGGTTAAATAAAATTCTAGTCCTTTCTCAGTCAATGGGTCACTTTTATGCCATCAAAGCTAGATTTGAGACATCTATCAAAAAAAAAGGGGAAAATACTGTCTTCATGTCCAATCCCTAGGGACTAAAAGCACATGTTAAATTCAGAATTTTTGAATCAGAATTTATTTTGTATGTTAAGATTTTCTTACACGATAGTATATTACATAAAATTTCAAAAAATTATTTAGTCATCAAACGTACAGTTTACAGTTTACGACTGAAATTGATGGTAAAATATACTCCAAAACTCTAGTTTTGTTTGATATTCTTGTTGTATTATCTTCGCATGGCTTGACCTTAAATTGAGATTCTCCACACAATTCTCTATGGCTTGCGAAAAAATATGACGTGAAGTTCTTTCATTGCGTTCATTGGACGAAACATTAAAATACTCAAAGTACTCAAGTTTCATACATATTTTAGAAGTTTTCAACAAACTATGAGTTTCAAAAAAAAAATTGAAACTAAAATAAAATAAAAGGCTTTTAAAAAAGGAAAATAAAAATAAAAATAATGAAGTGCGACTAGGAATTAAGCGTTAAGTTGACTGCTTAATTTCATGCTTGCCAAAGCATAGCATTTTCATGTCGAGGCACGCTTTATATAACATTACCACTACAACAAAAAGAGTCATTCACAACATTAAAAAAATAAAATTTGTTGATAAATGTTGCTAAAAAGGCCTTTTCGCAATATTTTAGTAAGTGAATGTTGCCATTTGTTCATATAAATGAGTTTTGGCAACATTTTTTAGAAAAATGTTGCAATAGACTCCTTTTTGCAACGTTTGTTGAGTCACAACGTTTGACAAATTTTGCGAAGATCCCATTTCAATTCCGACCCAACAACCCACAAAATGAGAAATTATTGAAAATACCCCAAATTCAACAATAATCTTTTCAAAATACCCCTTTACCATTTTAAAAACTTAAAGTTCCTAAGATACCCTTAATATAAAAAGTTTCAA